AGATGGTAGAGTCGAGATCTCCTCGCAAGTGAAACCATGTACTCGAATGTATCGCGTGTGTCAAAATGAAAGCTATTGAAATATTTAGAAATGTTGAAAATTTACACGAATTCATTGTCGCCTATCTACCTCGAGCGCGTAAAACGCAGAAAACACGTGAATTGTTGGAGCTGCGGAAAATTGGCGCGAATGCAAAAGCTAACGGCGGTGATGTTGACATTGACGCTGGCGTCGCATGCGCCAGTGATGAGCGCAGGGGCGCATTTCATAAGATGCTTGCTAGCGGCGGCGTCTGTGGCGCATTTGTTATCTTCGAGCAAACGCCGAAAGTGATAACGATCACAACAACAGCAACAACAAAAAGTAAATATACGCACGCTTCACTGCCTAAGATAAGTTCGTTGGTGTAATCTTCCGCTTTGGTTTTTTTTCTACTTAAGTACCAACGCACACACAAAAAAAATATACTAGCTATGACTAGCGCAGTATTCAACTGCAATACGATTTTATTACTTACTGTAAACTAACTTTTTATTATTAATTTAATTTGTTTTATGCAATATTATTTAAAATTTATGTATATCTAATTTTACCATTTAAATTTATTTACTTATGTACAATTTTTTTTTCTTTTCTTCTTTCTTTCCTATTTTTCCTCTACTTCGTCCATTCCAACAATGCCTCCTGGTTTTCCTTTCGTGTCGACGTTCCCAATCGTATGTTTCCCGTGTGTCCATGCATTTTAGATGAGCGCAAGAAATCATCGCTGCCCGCCATACCCACCATATCGTATACGGTTGGAAATCGTGATACCTTGACATCGGTGGCTGCACGTTTCGACACCACACCCTCAGAGTTGACACATCTTAATCGCTTGAACAGTTCTTTCATCTATCCGGGCCAACAGTTGCTGGTGCCCGATAAGAGTGCGGCGGCCAAGAGCGACTCGATTAGCGGCAGCGCGTCTGGTATCGATGAGAGGGGCTCCAACGCCAGCATTTCGGGCAAATCGAGCCCCATTGAACGCAAATTATCCGTCGCCGATGAGCAGAACGATGAGAAGGGTGAGTTGTAAAGCAAAAATTAAACATTTATGAAAGCATCGCAACAAAGTTTTTAATACAAAATCAAAAAAATAAAAAATATTAATAGCAAGACGAAAGAGGAATAATCATATTCAAGTTACAAAAATGATTTGGAATATTCTTTTCTTATTTTTACATTCATAATTTTTCGTAAATTTGTGGTTCCCCTACTTTTGCAAGCTAATTGAAGATTTTCGCATAAATGAAATACATTCATATTGATGTACATATATATGTATGATAAGAATAACAAGCGAAAACAGTCATATCTTCGGCTATATCATTATGTTACATAGTAAATTGATTTACACCAGTGATGACCAAAGTGGTCCGGATGGACGCCAGGGGTCCACGGGAGACTTGACGGCGGTCTACGTTGGAGTGAAGAAAAAATTGGGATTCATAAGATGTTAGTTGGGGTACACGAAAGTTTAACTGGTCTTGATAGTAAAGAACAAACATGTTGGCTTGGCTTTACCTAGGCAATAAAAAAAAAAAAAAAAAAATTTTCGGTTATTTCAGACAGGCTGTGAAAAATGGTCTTATTGAGACTATAAATAAGCATTTTGAAGCCTTAAGATTTCTTGGATAATGTTTTTTAGGAATTTCGGTTCCCATGAAATCCTAACAGATACCGCAAAAATAAGTATTTTGCATATTTTTTGCCTTTTTTTGTCCACGATCTTCAAAAAATTTGTTTCAGTTAGATCGCCATATGGATCAGATAGCCTGTTTATTTAGCTTTAATTTTTTTGTTTTAAAGCCTCCCTTATTTTTTTGAGTCGTGTATTTTAAGACAGAGCTCGCAAAAGTTCNTGTCCACGATCTTCAAAAAATTTGTTTCAGTTAGACCGCCATATGGATCAGATAGCCTGTTTATTTAGCTTTAATTTTTTTGTTTTAAAGCATCCCTTATTTTTTTGAGTCGTGTATTTTAAGACAGAGCTCGCAAAAGTTCCTCACTGAGGAATAAAATTTCCATCTTCCTCCTTATTTCAACTCCATTTAAGAGCAATAAATTTCGATTTCCTCTTTTGTGTGAAACCAGAAAAATTTTGAAAATGGTCTACGAGAAAAAAAGTTTGTGAACCTCTGATTTACACTGGCAGCTTTTCATTTATGATGAGCAAATAGGGTAAAAGACTTGTTGACCTTAACTAACCTTAACTACATAGATAGAGGAGTTAAATAGGTCGGTAAAAGTTATACCTGAACATTCTTCTTCTTAATTGGCGCTGTAACCGCCTAAGCGATTTTGGCCGAGTCCAAAACAGCACGCCAGTCATTTCTCTTCTGTGCTAACTGACGCCAATTGAAAATGCCAAGTGAAGCCAAGTCCTTCTCCACCTGGTCTTTCCAACGCAGAGGAGGCCTTCCTCTTCCTCTGTTACCAGCATCGCGGCCCGCGTTGAATATTTTCAGAGCAGGAGCGTTTCTGTCCATCCGAACGACATGGCCAAGCCAGCGGAGCCGCTGAATTTTAATTCGCTGCACTATGTCTATATCGTTG